ACCATATTAACATACTAAAGATAAATTACATCATATCAAGTGAGGCTGGAAAAGCATCCAGTGCACCCTGAAATTCAGTGTCTATTCACAAGATGGGGCACAGTGCCTCACACCTGTAGTTCAAGCTACTCCAGCTGCGGCACAAGGAGCATTTGTGTTTAAGAGTTTAAGGCCGGGGCCAGGCATTTAGTTCAGTGGTTCCGCAGCCTGCCTGACAAGTAAAAGGACCTGAGTTCGATCTCTGGAAAAAAAAAAAAAAAAGTTTAAGACCAGCTACAGCAAAATAGCACCTCCTTTTTTCTTTTTTTTTTTCTTTTTTCCCGTGCTGGGGATTGTATCTAGGACCTCATGCATGCTAGGCAAGTTCTCTACCACTGAGCTTGCCCAACACCTCCTTTTTTAATTAAAAGAAAAGTCCAATATGCATTCATGATAAAAATTCTCAGCAAACTAGGAATAGAAGGGAACTTCCTTAACATCTACAAAACATCTATTCAAACACCTCCTAAAATTAACATTGTATTTGGGGCCGGGGACTTAGCTCAGTGGTTCCGCTGCCTGCTGCACAAGCCCAAGGACCGGAGTTCGATCCCCAGTACCAAAAAAAAAAAAAATTAACATCATACTTAATGGTGAAAAACTAAATGTTTTTTCCCAAAGATTAGGAACAAAGCAGTGTTCACTGTCATCAGTCTTTGGTTTTGGTTTTGGTTTTTCTGGTTTTTTCAAACAGAGTCTCACTTTGTAATACAGTTTGGGCTTGAACTCACTCTGTAGCCCAGTCTGGCCTCAAACTCACAGCAATCCTCCTGCCTCAGGCTCCAAAGCACTGGAATTACAAGTGCATCCCACTATGCCCAGCAGTAATTTTATTTATGATCAGCAAAATCTGGAAATGATAGGTGAGTAGATAAAGAAACTCATACACTATACAAGGGGATGCTACTCAGCCATAAGAAATGAACTATTAGTACATAAAACCACCTGGGTGAGTCTCAAAGACGTGCTGGGTGAAAGAAGCTAGTTGGACGATTCCATATTGTCTGGTACCATCGGCACGATACTGGGCAAGTCACAACTGTGGGGATGGAGGACAGAGGCATGGTGACCAGGGCTTAAGGGTGGGGAGAATATATGACCAAAAACGGGCAGCGCGAGGGGATGTGGGAGTGTGGAACCGTTCTGTCTCCTCACTGGTTACAGACCTACACGTGTCAAAGCACATGGAACTGTACACCCAAAAAGAAAAGTTTTACTTTTCTTATATAGTTTTACTTATAAGTTTCTTATTTACTTTTCTTATAAGTTTTCTTATATACTTTTTTTTAAAAGCTGCCTTGAAATATTAGCAAAAATTAAAATTAGCAAAAATATAAAGGTTTGAAATTTGATTGGCAAGGCTGTGGGGAAAGGCATTCCCATGCATTCCTAGTGGTGTGCAAATTGCTGTGACCCACAGAAGAGAAATCTGAAACACCTAACAAAACTACTTGTGTGTTCAATTTTTGATCCAGTAATGCAACTTATAGGGATTTACTTTTTTTCCTTTCAACACATCACAATAAAGATTTACTTTAAAGAAACATTTCTGGGGCCGGGGATTTAGCTCAGTGGTTCTGGCGCCTGCCGCGGAAGCGCAAGGTCCTGAGTTCGATCCCCAGTATCAAAAATAAAAAATTAAAATAAAAAAGAAACATTTCTGTCATATGCCTATAATCCCAGCACACTGGGAGGCTGAGGCAGGAGGATCATAAGTTTGAGTCCAGTCTAGGCAATTTAGTGACTTGGTGAGACCCTATCTCAAAATAAAAAATTTAATAAGGATCAAAATCTATAATTGATAGTGTGAAATAGGAAGAAAAGGTCTAAAGGGGTAGAGAAAGTGGGAGGGGTAGGGGAAAGGAAAGAAGGAAAAGGAAAAAATATGAGAAAAGGAAAAAATGGAAACATCTTTGTAAATAGGGAAGGTTGGAGGGGGTGAAGGGAGGACAGGGAATGGGGAAAAAATAAAAACTAAGATATATCATGTAAAATTACAAGTTCCCAATGATGAATGTAACTGTATTGTAAACCTAAAATGTACCAATAAACTTAATGAAAAAAAAATGGAAAAAAATTAAAATAAAAAAATTGAAAAACAGCCAGGGATGTAACTCAAAATGCAAAAGCCCTGGGTTCGATCACCAGTTCTGCAAAGAAGGAAAGAAATAAAGGAAGGAAAGAGGGAAGGAAGGATAGATTTCCAACAAAATGAAAATCCTAATGCATAAGAATATTTGCCAAAGCATATTTGTAATTACAAAATATTAGCTACAAGGTACATATCCATACATGGGAGATAATAGCGTGGTTGAATAAACTGTAGTATAGCTGCATAATGAAAACAACAGAGCTGTATAAAACATCATATAGCTCTACAAGTTGATATGAAGTGATGTTCAAGATATATATTGTTATGTGAACAGAGAAAAGTGCTAAAGAATATTCATAGTGTGAAAAGAATTAAGAAGACATAGATTATCAGCTTTTTTTGTTGTTTTTTTTTGTTTGCTTTTTTGAGGCAGGGTCTCCCTTTCTAGTTCAAACTGGCCCTGAGCTCACTATGTAGCCCAGGCTGGCCTTGAACTCGCAGCCATCCTCCTGCCTCAGCCTTGCGAGTGCTGGGATTACAGGCGTGAGCTACCATGCCCAGTTTATCAGCTTATTTTCTTGTATCAGGTTATTTTTAGAACTATACACAGGGGATAAACCAGGAAATGAGACCGGTTACCTTCAGTGGCAGGGATGGAAGCATGGAAACACGGTTGAAGGCCTGGATGGGAGAGATGGGAGGGTGTTGCAATTCACCTACAAAGAAAAACAAACAGAACAATTTACCTGCAAAGACCCATATTGCACAGTTTGACTCTTGGAGCTGTATAAATGTTTCACACACTCAAAAATAAAAAAATTAAATTATCCCCTACAGGGATGGAAGAAAAATATCCTTTAAATTTCAGTATAAGCAAGAACAATGGAATTAACATTAATTTCAAATGAAATGTAGGGGGGGAACCAATACAGGCAACTTTCTGCATACTGTGTAATTTTTTTTTTTTTTTTTGAGACAGGATCTCACCATGTAGCCCACCCTGGCCTCGAACTCCTGGCAATCCTCCTGCCTCAGCCTCCCTGAGCCCTGGGATTACAGGTATGTGCCACCACGCCCAGTTTACACACTGTGTTTTGGCTCTAGAAACTCAGACTAAAGATAAATGACCATACACAAATGTTGGACTCAAGTTAGTTGGCTTGCTTTGTGAAGCAGTATGGGTTAGCAGCTCTGAAATTATTCTCTGTGCATTATAGGTCTGAGCAAGTAGTAAATAGGTGGAGGGTAACAGGAGCCTCACAGGTGAGGAAGGGAGGCGCAGGCCTGGAAAAGAAGCCCAGAATGCACACGTGGGGTTGTTGGATCAGAATCAGAGATGCCAGGTGCAATCAGGTATTCGAGGGCAGGACGTCTGGTGGTAAGAGACAGAACGGCATCCGGTAACTAGCAGCTTTGGGCCTGGCCCAGGACTTATCGACGCCCCACCCCCTACAGATTGTAATTGCCCACCTACATTCCAAGCTTGGCCTCACTATGAAATTACAAAGATGATTTTCTGCAAATAGCACATTTTTTAGTTTGAGACTTGGATCAGTGACTAAACATAAAGTAAGGTCTATGGATGAGCCAGGTCTCTTTCTGAGGCAAGAGAAGAACTGAGCTCCAACTCACTGGAGCAAGAAGGGGATTTTCAGGGCCTACCATTGAAAGACTTGGGGAGCTCTATCTTCAGGTCTGTCATTAGCTCTCTCTCTCTCTCTCTCATTTTCTCTCTCTCTTTCCCTCTCTCTCTCTTTCACTCTTTCTCCTTTATCTCGCAGGCTTCCTTCACTGATGAGAATGGAATTGGACAGCACTGGGCTCATCTTCTGCCAAGTTAGGAAACCCAGTGCAGAGAGAGGAGGACTCTGACTGGCCAGCTCCTGAGGGGAGGAGCCAGGTGATCTAGGGGAGACAGGGCCTCCTGGACTGAGGTCCCCTGGGGCTACAGGGAGGGAGGGGCTCCTATGAGAAAGCACAGCGAGGACAGGCTGCCAAAAATGTAATGACTCCCACTGCTCATCACTGCCCCTGATGTCTGCTTATGTTCACCAGAAGGGAATAAATTCTCAGACAATAAAAATAACCATTCTGCCCTATGACCAACTCCTCTGAGGGCTCTCAGCCCTCGAGGGCAGGCTGGGCGGCCCCTGGCCTAGCATCCTCATCCAACGGGCTACTTTGCACGGTGACTTGCCTTTAGTGCAAGCTCAGAGAGCACTTGATGCTTCCGGTGCCTTCCAAGGGGCCCTCTAAATTGGACCCAGACAGGGCCAGGGATTTAGCTCAAGGGTCCCAGCCTACCTGGCAAGCATAAGGTCCAGATAGTCTGTCCCAGGATACACTAGTTCTTGGGTAATAAATGTGAGACAAGTATCTGAATACACAAGTTTCAGAACTCTTCCTGGCTCAGCTTCCAAATACCGTCTCAAAGGGAAGAATGATGTGTTACAGATATTTTATGTTTAACTTAGTAATAGTTTAATAAAATCTCCCTAGCTAAAACCCCATCCTTCTCTGAGCCAATACACCTACCTACATGTTAAGAAATATCTTGGTCAACTTTGTATTTTTTGTTTGTTTTGGGTTTGTTTGTTTGTTTTTGAGACAAGGTCTTGCTGTGTAATCAGACTAGCCTTGAACTCACAAGGATCCTCCTGCCTCAGCCTCCTGAGTGCTGAGATTACAGACATGTGTCACCACACCTGGCAGGGTCCACCCTGTGTTGCAAGGGGTGAGAAAAAATAACTGTACTCCAGATATCCCTCAGAAGTCTGTTCTGAAATTCCCTTACCCTTAAAGCTCTTTAACAGCCCAGGACTCTGAACCCTAAGTGTGCATGAGAGTCATGTGATGTTCATACTTAGAAGGGACTTTCCGTACCTCACCCTGGAGATCAAGGAGCAAAGCTGCCCATGTGAGGGAGTGAGGAAAAGGAACACCAAGGAGCAAAGCCCTGAAGCGGCAAAGAGTTTCCAGAACAATCTGTGAAGTGAGTAAAAGGGAAAAGGGCAGGGACCAGAGAAAGAAGCAAATAAAGACCAGCATGGGCAGGGCGAGAAGTGGGAAGAGGAAGTGGAGTTTTTAGCTAAGTGCGACTGGAAGCCACTGAAGGTCTTTTGTAGGGGGAGTGAGGGCCGGGGATTTAGCTCAGTGGTTTTGCCGCCTCCTGCGCAAGTGCAAGGACCTGAGTTCGATCCCCGGTACCAAAAAAAAAAAGTTATGTAGGGGGAGTGAGATTGGATTTTCAGTTACAGAAAGCCACGTGGGGACTGTGCTTGCAGAGTTGAGGGTAGGGTAGCTTAGTGGTGGAGCACTTCCCTAGAGCGCATGAAGCCCAGGGCTCCATCCCAGCATCACCTGCAGAGGTGCCGGCTGGAAGTCATGGTCGGGCCAGTGATTGAGTCTGAAACATTTAGAAAGATGGCGTCAGTGCTGGGCATCCCATCTCTCCTATTCTCATTATCTTCTTTTCCAGTTATTCTATTCCTTACCTCCCCCAACCTTTTTGTCGCTTCAAATTGAAAATATTCTTTTCAATGTGCAAATAATATATTCTCAATATTCAAAACTGAGAATATGCAGGAAAGTACAAAGACATCAATCATCAGCAGTCCTACCACCCTGAGAAGCTGCTACCCTTCCTGGCAATTCGCCACACGAGTCCCCATGCATTGTGGGCAAATAGAATCGTACCACACATGTCGCTTCATAATGAGTTTTTCCATCTTTATAAAATAGCATAATTCTGGAAGTCTAACACAGTTTGCATTCAATGAAGAGAAGTTAAATCTCACTCGGGAGAATTTCTTTACTGTTTGTGAGTATCTTGTAAGTCACAGAGAAACCTTTAAAAGGTGTAGCTTTAAGTCAATAAGCTTAGAAAACACTAGTAATTTTCCTAAAAGGCAGGAAAGGGGCTTGGAGGTTTAAAAATTAAAGTGCTAGAAAATATATTCTAAACAGATGAGCTAAAACTGAGTGTAGTAATTTCCTCCCAGAAGGGAATGTGACGCCTGGCAAAATTCCATTGTTTACTTTGCATGGTCTTAACCTGAGCAACACAAAAAGCAGAAAGCAGAGGCAGGAAGTGCCTTCCAGCATCCTGGTGGGGATGGGGCTCCCCATGTGAGGACCCTGGATATGGTGGGATTAGCCAGGAATCTTCAGAGCAGCTTGCCCCAAACACTAATTGCATTTGTGTCTGTGTCTTTGATTGGTGGCTTAGTCAGGTTTCTGGCTCATTATCATTTTAATCCTTTTTTTTTAATGTAATAAAGCTAAGACTCTAGTTTTACTTTTCATTTTCCCACAGGGGAAAATAATTTCAATAAAACTTGAAAGTATTTTATATACTCTCAGCCTTTAATAATATATTTAGTAACTTCAGTGTGGGAATGCTGTTTCCTTGCTCACCTCGGTGATTAAATGGTTGAAATAGAAAGCAAAAGCCTTGAAATCCCCGGACTCTCCACCACCAGTGTTCTCCCCAGGTGGAATATCCTGTGGCTCAGCAAAGGAAAGAACACAGCAGGCTCTGCACATCGGGAGAAGTGGAGCTTTACATTTCAGTGATGCACTGGGGTGGAGCAGGAGTAGTCAAATGTGATTGTAGAAAGTGGATGGTGCATGGCTGGTATTCACTGCAAATTTAGGTTCAGATTATTGCTTTACTTTCTGTACTACTTGTTTTTTGTTTTGTTTTGTTTTGTTTGTACCAGGGATTGAACTCAGGACCTTGTGCTTGTGAGGCACAGAACCACTGAGCTAAATCCCCGGCCCTGTACTATTTGATTTTATTAGCAGACAGTAAGCCTTGCTTAGGCAGGCAACTTCTAGAAAAAAGATTCTCATATTCTTGGGGGCTGAGGGAGGGGTCCTTGTCATTTTCCAGAATTTTCTGTAGGAAGGAGATACTGATACTGTGCTCTTTCTACCTGCTTCCATAATAGGTCACAGTCCTCTTTTCAAGGATTTTGAGATCTAGTTAATGCAGTCAACATTTTGATTTTTTTGAAATATTGATTGAAATAAATAAATAAATAAATAAATAAATAAATAAAAATATTGAT